CTGCAGGGAGAGGCTGGGACTGGCATAGCTGGGGGCTCCCCACGCAGCCAGCGCCCTGCCCTGGTCCCCACAGTGCCCCCTTCTGGCGGAGTCGGGTGGCTGCTGAGGGAGGAATTCACTGCAAGGGGGAGGGGGTACTCCTGGGGAGGAGGTGTTGGGGGTACTCATTGAAGTGGGAGTCGGGGGGGGGGGTTAGACCCACTAGAGAGGGGAAGCTCTGAGGGTTAATCTCTGGCTGGGAGGATGGGGGGCTGGGGGGGGATCATTCATTTGAAGGGGAGAGGATCGGGGGGTTGGCCAGTGGTGTGCTGGGGGACCAGGGGGACTCTCTGGAAGGAGGATGTCAGGATGGGGGTACTCCCTGAAACGGGGGAGGGTGTGTGGTTGGATCACACTCCCTGGCAGAGGGTCGGGGGGGGGGCACACTCCCCGGCGGGGGCCCCCGGGGGGGCTCACTCCCTGGGGGGGGGGGGGGGGGGGGGCCGCCCTCCCTGGCGGGGCCCGGGGGGGGGGGGTCGCACTCCCTGGCAGGGCCCCGGGCTCACACTCACTGGAAGGGGTTGGCGCCGTCGGAGCGGCGCAGGGCCTGCAGCCCCTTGCGGCCCAGCCGCAGCGTGATGGTGATTCCCAGCACGGCCAGGGCGCCGTAGGAGCCCACGCTGACGATGCTGAAGTGCAGCAGGCTCAACAGAGTCACCATGATGCCGGTGAAGACGAGCGCCGAGGTGCGGGTGTCCCGCCAGTACACCAGGTCTGCCACTGCGGGGGAGAGCGTTAGCGGGGCGTGACCGGGGGGGGCCTGGAGCCAGACGTGTCCACGGCCAGGGGCTTCCCCTGGGGACCCTGTTCCCGTCCCTCAGGACCCATCCTCCTGCCTGGCCCCTCAGGGACCCCCAGCTCCATCCCTGAGGACCCCCTCTCCTCACCAGACTCGTCAGGAACCCCCTCCCCCTGGGGACTCTGGCTCCATCCCTCAGGACCCCCTCCCTCCGTCTGGCCTCTCAGGGAATCCCCTACCCACCTGGGAACGTCCAGCTCAGTCCCTCAGGACCTTCTCCCCCCACCTGGCCCCTCAGGGAACCCCTCCCTGACCTGGGGGCACCCGGCTCAGTCCCACCTCTCCCGGGCTTGACCCTCAGCCACACCTGGTCTGTGAGGCACGGCGCCGGCAGCGGGTGCTGGGGGGAGGATGGGACCCCGAGATCATCCCCGCCAGCGGGCGCCCGAGCTGCAGCAGCAGGGCCGAGTCGGGAAGGCTGTGTCTGGGTCGCTGGCGGTGCCTGGGGGGTGTCCTGGGGCCGGGGCAGGTGCGGTGGCATCCCTGGGGCCGGGCTCTGCAGCAGGCCTGGGGCCTCGGGAGCTCCACTGGGCACAGCCATAGGGATCTGGGGATGGGTCGAGGCCTCCATAGGGGCCTGGGCTCTGCTATGGGGCCCATGGTGGGCACAGCCCTGGGGCAGGCACTCTGAGGGAGGGCTGCGGGCACAGACCGGAGGGGAGGGGGTGACAGACCCTGGCAGCTGCTGCTTAGCCCAGATCCAATGCCCACCCCTGAAGGGGATCCGGAGGGCCTGTGGGCACCCTGGGGCCATGCCAGCCCTGACTGGGTCGTTCCAGGCCTCCCCACAGGCCAGGCTATAGGATACGCTTGGGGAAAAGGAATAAGGGGGCAGGGGGAGTGAAGGTGCCATCTGCTCTGGGCTCCCGTCCCACAGCGGGTCTGAAACTGGGCCAGGCATCCCACACCAGCTCTGAAACCAGGACCCACCAGGGCCAGATACGGGAGACTCCCTTAGAATATAGAACTTAGGTGTATTTTTATCAGTTAGTTATCGAGATATAAACCAAAGAATCAAAATCACAGTCCGCCTGTGTATGGGCCGTCGCTCACTAGGATAGTCTGAGGCCTTGTTCGTAGGCTAAGGCCTTTGGATAACCAGCAGGGGCAGCCATAAACTTAGGGTCACATCCTCACACCCCAAACCAGATCCTGTCCTGATAGTGCCCATCACCACCAGATAAAGAAAAAGATCTTAAGATGGTTAAGAAAACTTAGTTTGAAAGCATCCTGTCTGGCAAGAAATCAGGTATCAGCGTTGTGAAACCCTCATTTCTGTATTGTTTTATCTTTATGGCCAGCACTTTTCTATTGTTAATCTGTCTGGTTCTCTAATTGTTTCTGTCTGCTGTATAATTAATTTTGCTAGGTGTAAGTTAATTAGGGTAGTGGGATATAATTGGTTAGAGAATTATGTTACAATATGTTAGGATTGGTCAGTTACATTTCAGTAAAATGATTGGTTAAGGCAGGGGTCGGCAACCTTTCAGAAGTGCTGTGCCGAGTCTTCATTCATTCACTCTAATTTAAGGTTTCGCGTGCCAGTCATACATGTTAACGTTCTTAGAAGGTCTCTTTCTATACGTCTATAATATAGAACTAAACTATTGTTGTATGTAAATAAGGTTTTTAAAATGTTTAAGAAGCTTCATTTAAAATTAAATTAAAATGCAGAGCCCCCCGGACCGGTGGCCAGGACCCGGGCAGTGTGAGTGCCACTGAAAATCAGCTCGCGTGCCGCCTTCGGCGCGCATGCCATAGGTTGCCTACCCCTGGGTTAAGGTATAGCTGAGAATATTACTATATGAACGGGTCAAACAGGAAGTGGAAGGGAAATTGGAATCATGTTTGCTAAATGGGGGGGACGGGAACAGGGACACAGGCAAGGCTCTGCGGCATTGGAGCCGGGAAGGGGACGCGGGGTAAAGGCTCTGCGGCGTCAGAGCCGGGAAGGGGGAGGCGGGGTAAACGCTCTGCGGCGTTGGAGCCGGGAAGAGGGACGCGGGGTAAACGCTCTGCGGCATTGGAGCCGGGAAGGGGGAGGCGGGGTAAACGCTCTGCGGCATTGGAGCCGGGAAGGGGGACGTGGGGTAAACGCTCTGCGGCGTCGGAGCCGGGAAGGGGGACGCGGGGTAAAGGCTCTGCGGCGTCGGAGCCGGGAAGGGGGAGGCGGGGTAAAGGCTCTGCGGCGGTGGAGCAGGCAAGGGGGATGTGGGGTAAAGGCTCTATCTGCATATAGAGATAACCCCGACTGGTGTGAAGGGTTTCGGAATATGCTTTCTTGGAAACTAACCCCAATAAACATCGCATTGTCTGCGCTTCGGACTTCTGGTCTTTTGCTGCTTGCTTTCTGCATGACAAGAACCAGAGGAGAGGGTGAAAGGAAAGCCCTCTAGCACTGGGCCAGGCATCCCACACCAGCTCTGAAACCAGGACCCACTGGGGCCAGATACGGGAGACTCCCCCACCCCCACTCCAACAGAGCCAGTGCCCCTGCAGTGCCCACATCTCAGCACCCCCTGCAGAGTCAGTGCCCACATCTCAGCACCCCCTGCAGTGCCAGAGCCCCCTGCAGTGCCCACATAGCAGCGCCCTCTGCAGTGCCAGTTCCCTAAGCAGGGCCCACATCTCAGGACCCTCTGCAGGACCTGACAGCCCCCTGCAGTGCCCGAGCCCCCTGCCGTGCCTGCATCTCAGCACTCCACCATGCCAACGCCCCAGAAGGGCCATCTCAGCGTCCCTGCACAGCCAGTGCCCAGACCCCCCCACAGTGCCTCCTCATGCTCAACCGCGCCCCACGCAATGTCCAAGACATGAGAGTGCCCCAGCCGCTGGCCCTGCTTGTGCCGTGGTAACGCCTCACTCCCTGAAAGGCTGCACGTGCCAGCTTCCACCCCTCTGGGCGCGCCACATATTGTCCCCCATCACTGCCCACTCCATGCATGTTCCCAGTGCCCTTCTTCCTCGTCCTCCTCCCCTGGCAGAGGCCACTCTCTGTCACATGAGATGCCCAGGAGCTGGGGACACCCTGTTCCCCACCCCTATCCCCCATCCGGCTAAGTGCCACCCCCAGCCCTGCCCCTTTAAATGGTAGTGGGGGGAGCCTTGCTTCCCAGGGGCTTGGGGGGGTCACCCCTTTGTGGGCGGGTCGTGGCTAAATTTAGCTGCCGTCCTGCAGCTGTCGGGATGGTGCCGCTCCCCCTCCCCCACCTGGTAACTGACAGGCCCAAGTGCCAGGCTGGGGGCACGTCGCTCACAGGCACGGACTGGGGGGGGCGGTCACAGCCCTGAGGATTGGGGCCCCCCCAGCAATCACTACGACCCCCAGCTCTGATCCCAGCCCCCCCAGAGCCTCCGTCCGCCCTGCTCTCACAGCCCAGCCCTGCCCGCAATGTGCCCCCAGCCACTCCCCAGCCCCCAAGAATGACCCAGCCCCAATCCCTGTCTGAGTCCAGCCCCCCAATGCCCCCAACCATCCTCAGCCCTGTGATGCCCCCCCCCCCCCCCGATGGGGCGTCTCTAACCTGCGCTGCCCATTGCGAGCCCTTTGCCTGCAGTGCGGTGCGAGGGTCCCGTCGCCTCGGCGCACCGTCTCCGGGTGGGGGCTGGGGGCTGCAGGGCTGTGCAAGGGGGGAGCCCGGGGGCTATTTATAGCCAACGAATGCCAGCTGCTGTCTCCCATCACCCATCCCCCTTCCTGTCCTGCAGGGGGGCTCGGCCGCACCAGGGATGGGAGGGACGGTGCCGACAGGCAGTGAGGGGGGGCAGGTAATAGCCGGGGGGTAGGACGAGGACTAGGAGCCAGGACTTCTGGGTTCTGCCCCTACCTCTGGGAGGGGCGTGGGGTGCAGTGGTCAGAGCGGGGGGCTGGGAGCCAGGACTCCTGGGTTCCATTCCCAGCTTTGGCCCAGACACTGTGACTCTGGTCAACCTTTTCAGAAGTGGCCACTGACTCTAGCCACCTGAATTTTTGGTATTGAACTTGACACACACACACACACCCCGAAATGGGGAGCTGAGCCCTGCACGCTACATCCCAGCACCGCTCCCCACTCGTTCTCCCTGACCAGAGTAACCGAGCAAGTCAGGGTCGCTTTCCCCATTGCACAGAGGGGAAACTGAGGCACTGAGTGGGGGAGGGACTCGCTCAAGGGGAACAGCAATTTGGGGCACGTCTGAGGATAGGACCCAGGAGTCCTGGCTCCCAGCCCCCCAGCCCCGACAGTGAGACCTTGTTCCCTGTAGTATGGAGTCCCTAGTTTGACCCCACAGGCAGCCTGCAGCTGTGTGTGTCTCAGCCCCGACCCCCAATGCCACCCACGGATTGGCAGGGCTCAGGGACCCTGTCAACGGACAATCCCCAGCCTCTGCCGCCAGGGCCATGGGGCATCAGGACGGGCCAGTGGGGCAGGTGGGAAGGAGCAAGGGAGACTTGCTCAGCTTCCTCCCCCCCCCACCCCTCAGGTTGTCGGATCCTTCCAGGCAAAGCCAGGGAGCTGCAGTGTGGGGGTGGGGGCTCACTAGGGGTGCTCCCCCCCCAAGTCAGTGCTGACCCCAATGCCCCAGTGTGGCACTAGGGGGCGCTGTGCTGCAAGGAGCGGGACAGGGGACTTCGGGACAGTGCTCTCCCCTGGCAGTCAG